AACAGAGGAAAGTACCCGTAAATGAAATTAATTAGATTTACCCCATCATTATTTACCACATAGACATGTTGTTAAGGAACATAGTACTACGAAGTTACGGCCAGTATTTGACGCTTCGTCTAAAGCAAAGGGTTCTCCGAGTCTCAACGATTGTCTTGAAAAGGGATTAAACCTTATTGCATTTTATTCCTACAATCTTTAAATAGATTTCACCAAGAAAAAATAGGGGTGATTTCTGATATTTGTAAGGCCTTTCTACAAATTGGCCTGAATTCTAGTGATAGAAACTTCCTCCGATTTCTTTGGATAAAGGGTGAAGATGGCTTGAAGAATTTTCGTCATTGTCGAGTCGTATTTGGTGTAACCAGTAGTCCATTTTTACTTGGAGCTGTTATTCAATATCATTTAAATTCAATTTTAGAGAAAAACGATGCAGATGTAAAATATCCTTCCGACATTATTGTTAAATTAATGAATAGTTTCTATGTTGATAACTGTGTAACAAGTGTCGGAAGTGAAGATGAATTACAGCGTTTCATGAAAGTATCTTCAGATGTTATGGCAGAACGAAAATTTGAATTACGGGGTTGGGAATATACCAACTGTAGTTTAGAAACAGAAACTGTTGCGAATGTATTAGGTTTGTTATGGGAAAGGAAAGGTGAACTCACTGTTGATGAAACTGATTTTGCAGAAAAGGTTGTTATTCGCTTGATTCAATCGGAATCGTTTCAGGATATAGAAGACGCACGCTTACGAATTCTTAGTCCATTTTATGATGCGGGAATTCTAAGAATTAAAACTGGTGCGTTTCGAAGAGATGACACGTTACAGTTTAGAACACCTATAATATTACCAGGAGAACATCCGTTAGTTAGAAATTTAATTATGGAAGAACATAAAAAGAAAGGACATGCAGGTACAATATATATACTGAATACCTTAAGGGAAAGGTTTTGGTTGTTATCTGGCAGAAGAACTGTGCGTTCTGTTTTGAGTAAATGCATTACTTGCAAGAGATATTCTGCTGTACCTGTTGACCACATATCAGCCCCACCGCCAATACAGCGAGTAAATTATTCAGCAGTATTTTCAAGTCACGCTCACATTAAAGTCACCTTTGTAGTCCTTTATTGTTGAGAAACAAAGAAAAGGCATGGATTTGTGCTTTTACATGTGCCGTTTATAGAGCGGTCCATTTGGAGTTGCTGACTTGTCTATCTACAGAAGTGTTTCTTCAGGCTTTTCATCGGTTCGTGTCGCGAAGAGGTAAACCCACAACTGTGTACAGTGATAATGGTGCTAATTTTGTAGGAGCTTCAAATGCATTCAAATTAATAGATTTTGAACAAATTAATCGGCAGGTAGCCAATGAGCGAATAACATGGAAAGTTTATTCCCCCTGGTGCTCCATGGTGGGTGGTTGGTGGGAAACGTCTTATCGGAATGATGAAGCAAGTCCTTAAAAAAGTTCTTAAACATGCTTGTTCAAATTATGATGAAATGTACATGATACTGTGTGACTGTGAAGCGATTCTTAATGACTGACCGTTGATAGTAATTCCTTCTGATCATGAATTTAAAGCTTTAACTCCTGCCGACTTTTTAAAAGAAATTAGAACTAGTAGTTTGCAGGATATAAAATACGGTATTAAATCAAGTAATTTACAAAAAAGATTTCAGTATATTCAAACTATTTGAGAAGCATTTAAAAATAGGTTTCGTAAAGAATATTTCGGAATTCTCAAGGTTTCGCATAAAAGAGCTGAAAGGAAAGTTACTATTAAATTGGATGATATTGTTTTGATCGGTAGTAGTGACAAAAGACTTTTTTGGCAACTTGGTCGTGTCATAGAACTACTTCCAGGACCTGATGGAATAAATCGGCTTGTACGAGTAAAGACCCGAAATGGAATTTTGCTTAGAGCAGTTCGAACTTTGTATCCTTTAGAGGTAACGCAAAATGATGTACCCGTGAAGCTGCAGAATGAAAAACAAGTTCGTTGTCTGAAACTTAGCGTAGATGATAAATCTGTGAGACCTGTAACACGATCTGGTAGAACTGTAACTCCGCCGGACAGACTGGCATATTAAGGCTCTTTAGCATTGTTTTACTTTGTTGTGAAAGTTCACTTTTTTTTTTCTTTTTCCTTAGGTGGAAAGATGTTAAATATTTTGCATAATTGCCTGTAGTAACAGCAACCACCGTCAATAAAAAAAAGGTGCTTTCCTTGGTAGCGGTGCAGTTGATTTTCAGTTCGAGCCAGAGCAGACCTGCTTGGGGAAGAAGCCAGGGGATAATAGTTTCCGGTTCCCGTCTTGTTCCGATTCCCGTCCTGTTCCGGTTCCCGTCTTGTTCCAGTTCCCGTCCTGTTCCAGTTCCCGTCTTGTTTCGGTTCCAGTCTTATTCCGGTTCCCGTCCTGTTCCGGTTCCAGTCTCGTTCTGATTCCAGTCTTGTTCCGGTTCCCATCTTGTTCCGGTTCCGGTTCCAGTCCTGTTCCGGTCCTGTTCCAGTTCCAGTCCGGCCATTTAAGTCCAAAACACGTAGGAGCTGAAGTTTGAATCCAGCGAAACTAAAATGGAGATATATGCCGAAAGGGCCAGATGGATTTTTTCTTTTAAAGAAAGTGTTCTTCACCGTTCCGGAATAACTGACAGTTTAAAGCATTGCCTGGAAAGGTTGAATGTTTCCACCTAAGATGTTAAGTTTTCGTTTATGTTATATAGGAAACATTTATGTTTTTATTACTTTTTTGATTCATGGTGCCAGATAAATTAACAAAAAAATATCAAATAATTCACATTCAAAATCTAATTCATAATATTCATATATCATTTCGACATTCTTATAAACATTCGTATAGTAAATCTATCAATCAATCGTATAGTGGTAGTACAATCTAACTTTTAGGTTTGCGTTGTGAGTAACCTATGTAAAAGGAAATATCAATAACTCCAAATTCAGTTAAATTCCATGTTTCTTAAAAGCCTCCCGGCTCAAACAAATGGAGGGACATGACAGACCACAGTAAAATATACACAACATTTAATACACAAATACAATTAAATTTTAAACACACATTTATTAAATTCTTGACTATTTTATATAATTAAATAATGGATAACTGATCAGTAATACATATTTTTCTAAGCAAAATAACACATAATACTACACCAAATTACAGCTTACATTAATTAAGATTAACATTATCAAATTCTACTGTATCATAAGTGTAACACTAGTATTTTCTCCCATTTCATCTTCTAACTTTAAGTATTTATCATGGTAATTCACTTTAAGAACACTGATAATTTCCACATCGATTAATTAATTTAAGTAATTGCTCAAACTTCAACAAACATTAAAATGACGACTCTTGCTTGAGTATTAAGATAATTATTGAAGTAAAACAAATTAAAAAAAAAAAAAAAAAAAAAAGTCACTCACAGGGTGAAGTCCAAACCGCAACACTCACTTTACTCGGGAATACCTTCGTATACTGATTTTAATAAGGTGATTTGACAGCTCCACAGATCGTCCAGCGTCCAAAGTTTACTCAAGCACCACATTATTCCTGCTGTCCTTTATTCACAAAATCATCGTTAATGGAGGCAGACATTTTTGCGAATTTTATGACTTGGTTGCAACACCACTGAAGCTGTCCTTACAATAAATAAATTCCAGAGCATGGAATAATGAAAAAAAAATCGACGCAGCTGGCACAGGCAGAATAAACAGCAATGCACACTTTAGAAGCACTACACAAGTCTCTTTCATTCTGGAAGCCCCAAAACTCACCATAAGCGTAGAGCACCTTTGGAACAAATCTAATCAGGAAGTCAAAGCCGTTAAAAAAAAAACAGGAATACCGCATCAGGATGTCAGGATCATCAAGAGAATCTGCCGTACAATTCTTGGGATAAGAGAAATCGAAATTCTTCCGCTGAGCTCTATGCCTTATGCCAACGCAAATTCTCACCAGCTAAAAGCCGAGAAAAATCATACCCGCTGCCGGCTGTTCACGCGGCTCGCGAGAAGCAAGACCTGAAGGGTCAAGCCCCCACTTTTCTCCTTTTACATTTCTTGAAAATCAGAATCAGAATAATCTCTAGCCTGGTGCAAGCACCCAGGAAATCTTGGTTTCTCCGCCTCTGTGAGTTCATAGGCTTTCAAAAAAATAATAAAATTAAATCTTACCAATGCCGGAATTTTATGTTATCTAAATTGATAAAATGACACACCCATGATGAATCAAACACCAGAAAATCTGACAATGAAATCCGAAAAACATCTGTACACATAACGTGAGAAAAAAAAATAGACCCCCCAACTAACAAGCGAAAGTAAGCTTTACGAGCATCCAATTATCTAACTTAGTACACCTCCCACTGTCTTGAAGTAAGAAAACTGCAACCTTAACAAAGCGACAAGACGAACGATTTCCGTTTCACACGCATTAGCTAAAAAGGGCGACACACATACCCTACTGCCTCCACTGTTGGTAAAAGGCCAAAAACCAGATGTCTCCGCAACCGTTTCCCGCCTTAGTTACAATTCCTACTCAAGAATAACAAGTTAAATAACACCTTAAGAGCTTAAGAATACTTTTTTTCCTGATTAAAATACACATGAATACAAATAAAAATATTAGAATAATAATAACTTAAAACACATATTAATAATTTAAATTCGCTACATAACATTTAGTTAAGTTTTTCATCATTTTTGAAGTTCTATTTGAATAAACCTTTAAGTTTTAGACAAGGTTTTGTGTTCTTCAGAAATTTTAGGTTCGAAGTCAGATATATCACATAGAATTTAACGGGAAAAATCAACACTGTGAATAAATTCTGGATATCATAAAATTATTTTTGATTCCATACAAATATTTAATCATTAACAAAAATCAGTGTAAAAATATATAAATAATCACTTCAGTTACAAAAATATTAGAATCACCAAATTAATTCAATATAAATACTGCCAAAGGAAACTCACTTGAAGAAGGGGTTAATGGCCAAGGACAGTGCTTTTTGTGTTTTTCTTTCAAATCTTTCAAAATTCCATCAATACAAGCTTTGTCTGCAAATGGAAAAATATTCAGTTAAATTTATTTACTTTATTTATTTTGAAAGGCAAATAAATTTAAATACAGTGGTACCTCCTGTAAAGGACACTTCCTAACAAGGGACTCCTCTTATTTAAGGGACAATTCTGTTGGTCTCGATTCCTTTGATAGGGATCTTAACGTATTTACCTCTTATTAACGGACGTTCTATTTAAGAAACACTGAGAATGAATTTCAAAAATAAGATAGAAATAAACAAATAAATTAAAATAGAAATCCTCTTTGTTATTAAACTTTTGGAGCTTCAAATGCAAGTTTGCACTCAGGGAAGTACAGCTTTGTGACAAGGGAACAATAAAATCAAATGGCAATCTCCATCTTCTGCTTTTCAGTTAGGAAAAGGAGAGCAATACATAGGGAAAAAGCAAGTTGTGATGCAATCAAAAGGATACTTCACATTTATAGAATTCAAAATTCAGTTATTCTTGCTACAGTTCTCAGTAGGGAGAAGAAAAGTATATTGGATTGCTTCATAGTATGTTTATGGCAATCCAAGATAGGACCAATGGGAAAGAAAATGTAGTGAGATGACTAGATCACCTACCAAGGAACAGAAATGTCAGAATGTGGTAGATTGAAAACTTCTGTCATTCTTTGTTCTTGCTATAACTGGACAGCCAGAGTGCAGTTTTGTATTTGTGTGTTATTTTTACATATGTTTTTTATCACGGCTTCAAAGGAAAAGATTAGCATGAAGACAAAAAGCTGATTTGCAGAAATTGAAAAGCTTAGCTAGAGCAATTTAGGGCAGCAATTTGGAATAAGTAAAAAACCAAGTAAGTCATGTGCTAAAGGATAGAAAAGAAATAAAATTACTATGGATTACTAAGTCAAATGAACGTTTCAAGATAGTAAAATTTAGAGCATGTGAAATTGATACATTTGCGCTCAACTGGTTTTGTTCTCTAAGAGTAAACAATATCCTCTACATGGAGTATTATTGCAAGAAAAGGCAAAAGAAGTTGTGGAAAATCTGGAAACACAGAACTTCAAAGCATCAAATAGTTAGACAAACTTTAAGCAAAGACATAATGCTACTTTTTTTTTTTTTTTTTTTTTTTTTTTTTTTTTTTTTTGGGTGAAGAAATATCAGTAAATGTGCAACATGTAACAAACTGGATAAAAAAGCTAAATGAAATTTACAAAGGATATGAGACTAAAAACATCCAAAATGTGGATGAAAATTGATTATTTTATTTAATTTTGCTGACTAAAACTCTATGCTTCAAAGGAGAAAAATACTCTGATGGTAAAAAGTCCAAGGAACGTCTTGCACGTTACTTTGTTGTAACATGTAAGGAGAGTTTGAGCAACCACTGAAATCAGTCAAATTAGTTCTTTCCCATCTAATGCAAGCGGCGGAGCGGTAAAGTCGCTGAACACTGGTAGTTCGGTCCGAGGTTCGAATCCCGCGAACGGGCTGGCTGCATGGGTGTTTTCGTGGTTTTCCCCATGTGTAACGTGTATACGAGCCAGTTTTCCTTAGAAAGTCCTCCACGAAGGCATCCCTCCCCTTAGGCAGATAGCCCTAGTGTGCTTTGCCGTAATTAAATAAATATACCACCTCATCTAATGCAACATAAGTATTATGGCCTTTGGATCAAGGTATAATCAGATACTTCAAGGTTCATTACAGAAAACTGTTTTTACAGCATATTCTTTGTCAAGTTGCTAGTAGAAACAGTGATCAGCTTCCAAAACATCTCAATGCATTGAATATCATTCAGTGGATAACAAAAGCTGTTTAATCCGTATCACAAAGTTGTGTTCAGCACTGTTTTAAGAAAGCAGGGTTTGAAATTATGATTTTGAGTACCCTCAGTAAAAATACTACTGATGAAAATGAATTGTTTGAACTTGTCAAAATCAATGGCAGCGCTCAAATGCAAGAGTATTTAGAAATCTATGAGCACTTGCATACTGAAGACAGCAATGATGACATAAAATATTGTGTTTCAACTGTAGTTGATGATGTAAGAATAAAAATACCTTGGAAAGCAGTGAGGAAGACAAAGAAAAAGGAGACGAAAAGTGGGACATACAAAATTATATAGATGCCTTACACAGCTAATTAAAACAATTCATGAATACTATTGGTGACAGTGAAGGATTTACCATCAGAGCACTTTTCGCACTTTTCATCATCATTGACTATAAAATCCACACAGAAAAAGTACTTGCAATTCACAGACTTTCAAACAAGCCTGTGTAACACATTATTTTCAATAAATTAATAGTTTAGGTAATTAAAAGTTTAATAATTTAATGCAGTTTAGGTACTTCATTTCGTACATTTTTGCAATAAGTAAACTTTTTAAATTCAGAATTTTCATTTTTTATTAATTTCAAAATCAAATAAATACCTGTGACTATGTTATTTATTTATATATAATTTATTTAAAGTTTGATACAGTCTGAATTTTTAATTAAACTACATATTTTTAATATATACTTTCTGAAGAAGATATACCTTTATTTAAGGCACAAAATGCATGGTCTGGTGGGTGCCCCTGATTGGGAGGTATAGCTGTAGTAATATGAAAATGGATTGCTAAATTAATACAAATAATTTCTATCCATATATTCTAATCAAACTAATTAATAAGAGAATTTTAAGTTGAGAGACAAATGAAATGACAGAAATATTTAAACCCTATAAACATATACGTACATATTACAACACAACCAACAAATCATTCACAAATGCTTTTTTAGTATTTAAATTAGAAAATTTTAATTTTATTATTTAAATTCACAGCTTGCACAGAAACAGTAACTGAAAATTTATAGGATGCATAGAATGAAAATCACACAGGAAATTACAGAGAGGCTTCAAATATCCATCAGTCAAATGAACAAAAACATCATTATTATACATTATATAAACATAAACAACACAGATTATTTTTACGAAAAATACTCCAACGCTTCATCACCATTAGAAGTATCTGATGCTCATTTTTCAATTTTTGAGAATCTGTCAAAATTTGCAGTTAAAAGTTTTTACTTTGAGGATAGATGGCATATTCTAATATGAAGTCCATATTATAATGCTGCAAATATTTTTTAATTTCCTAATTTATTTTAAAAAATTATCAACAGTCCACCTTAAGTAATTAGCATTCAAAGATGAGTGCTGCTTAATTTTTTTATTTTCTGCTAACTGAGTCATAGACCCCCCGATTTTTTGTATAATGTTTGAAGTATTGTATCATATTCTATTTCCATTATAAAAGCTTTTATGATGTCTTAGAAAATAATATGTATATTTGTGTTATTAAAAGCTGTCAAAATATTTTTTTTTATTATAGAACAGAATGTACTGAAATATTTTCTATAGAAAAATAAACTTATTAATTCTTTTTTTTACTTTATTAATTCTTTTTTTTATCTGAAGACAAAAGCACATCAGAATAGATCTTAGCGAACACTGTTGTCTCTTGGCAACCTTTAAATGTATTGTTCTTATCTCTTATAACTATGTTTATGTTTTCAAAATACGTACTATCAATTTTAAAAAAGGAAACTTTAAAAATTTGTTATTGTACAACTGCTGAACTTAAAATTGCTACATCAAGGCTGCTACCTTCTTGGCATAGCAATTTTATGGTCAAGAAAGTTGCGCAAACGTCAGATCTGCATGAAAGGTAGTATTGTATACTTGAATAAGGTACCGTATACTTGAAATGTACCGTATACTTGAATAAGTGAATGATTAGCATCCCAGCACATGTGCACAAAGCAGTTACGAGTAATGCCATTTATATTGTGCATAAATGGATAGATTGAACACTAGGTTTGTCATTTGGAAGCTGCATTTGGATATTAGTTGCCGACGTAAAGGTTGCGTTATGCCTCATGTTAAGAAGGAGAAATCCCAACAAGGAGTCTGAATTTTACCATATTCTATCAGGACTGGGGTTAATCATTCTGCAACGCTGCTGCTCATTTTGGTCCGAATCCCATGACTGTCAGGCGTTTTATTTCATTCAATATATCTTTACCTTTGGTCGCAGTTGGTAAATCAGCAATGTAACTAATTCCTCTATAATTACATTTTTGCACACAAATCGAATGAAAACAGCTAACCTTGCTCGTAAAATCGCATCAGTGCTTTCATCAAGGCATGTTGAACACATCTCAGCATTTTACCTAAATCAGACTTTATTTGAATTGAAACATCTTCCCTCATTTTTATTATTATGTCCTTCACCATATTTCTGCTGGCAGGAAGTTCTTTAATTTTACTGATTGCTTGTTGTTTCTTGGGTAAATCTTCAAATAATTTGTCGGATGTGACTAAGAAAGTCATCTTCAGAAACTTACTGTCAGAAAGCGGTTTCCCATGCTGTGCTATGCAGAGAAACATACAGAAACTCGCTTCACTGACATTATATATATATATTATATGTAGGTTATACAGTCAAAAGTCGTTAATTCGGACACCCATAATCCGGACCTCAAAGCTACAAACTTTCTGCGCATGCGTCGTGTTGACGCATGCTCGTAAGAATTTTACGGCTGCGAATATGCTTGCGCGCGTGCGCAAAATACGTTTATGAGTGTGCGTTTAATGTATAACGGGCGACATAAGCTAAGCTAAAATTATCTAATTATCTATTTCAGATAATGTTGCAGATTGTGTTGTTCCTTAATCTTTGAATTGGATCCGGCTTATTATTTTTTGCAGACTGTTAGAGCAATTTTATAAAAGTAAGCTTGAACTTTCGATTATGTCAAATAGAATTTCTGATATATATTTATTAATATGTAAAGGATCTACAAAGCAAAAGTATGTTTCAAAGTTCATTAAACAAAAAGTGGAATTGCTGCAAAAAATGGATAAAGGCATATCCTTTGTTTATCTTTAACGCTGCGGCGGGCGCGCAATGAATTGCAAGTTGATCTGTCAGCACTATCATTATCTTCAGGGCAGATGTTTTTATTTTATTTGGCTTATAATTCCTTACTAAATGTAGTATTTCATCTCGATGTACTCCGTCTTTGATATGATTTAAATCGAATTCCTCGTCATTATAATTCGCTTCCGATAGCGAAGAAAGTGACAGAGGTTATTGAAAACGAAAAAATTTCGATTGACAAATTAGTCGGTAGACACAGCAATTATAGGACTTGAACAGCAGAACTTTGTAACTGAACAAGAAATTATGTCTGTTTATAGAATTAAAGAGAATGTATTATCACATAAAAAAACGAAGCAACTTAAACAACTTACATTGAAAGAAATGTTTAATAAAGTAAACAAATAAATATTAAGCTTTTTTTTTTTTTTTTTTTTTTTTTTTTTTTTGTAAATTTTGATACCCTTTAGATCATAATTGTTCATTTCATAAATTACAGTTTCATATTTTTAATTTTATAATTTCTGCATGCCATCTTACCAGATTTAAACTGATGATCTATAATCCGGAAAAATCGATAATCCGGAATCGCCGAAGTCCTGATGAGTCCGGATTAATGACTTTTGACTGTATTATGAATTCAACAAATATTCTCTATTTGTATAAAGCAAATTTAAATTTAAAATTATGAAAATTAATGTACTAATAAAAGGTTAATTATTGCCGTGAATTAATTTGCAATGTCATTCAAATTGAGAGAGCATATGTAAATTAAGTACAAGTATCTAAAACTATGAAAAAATTATTTAAATTAATCCAAAAAATTAATCCTAAAAATTTTAAAGAAATTTTAAGACTAATTATTAATTACAACTAGATTAATTTGCATAAAGTGAATAATTGTTGAGCAGGCAGGAGACAGATCTTTTCAAGGAGAAGTTGCCTCCAAACTCTTCAGTTATTTAGGCATGGGTATGATGAAACACGAATTGAATAATTGCCATGTCAACTATGATCAATCAGAGAGAAAGCACGAAACATTTTGAGTGGGAAAACTATAGACACATCCGTGCATGTGCAAATTTAGTTTCTCTAATTGGCTGCGGTTTAGACCCTGTCCTGCAGGGTGAATGGAATTTCTGGATTTATACCTTATAGCTATGCCTCTATGACATTTATACCATTATCTGAATGAAGCCTTAAAGAACCACAAGTTTCAAACTCCTGAACTTTTTCTCACCCTGACATGAAGCATCAAATCTACATGAAAATGTTTAATTTTCAAAATTATTTTTTGTCCCTTGGCACAGTGCGAGAACCACTGCTCTAATAAAATAATTATACGTGACAATTTAAAAATTCAGTTTTTGTATGGTATAGAAGTCTTTTTATCTTGTCACTTTCACAGATTGTTATAGTTAGAAAATCAAATTGCTTGAATCAATAAAGGAACGATAGCATTCATAAAAAATGCTCTCATTAAAAAAAAATCATTCTACTGTATCTCGAAATAGCAGTTCTGCTGCATACCACTTTAATATTCAAATACAGTCAAAATTCGTTAATCCGGACTCGTCGGGACTTCGGCGATTCCGGATTATCGATTTTTCCGGATTAAAGATCATCAGTTTAAATCTGGTAAGATGGCATGCAGAAATTATAAAATTAAAAATATGAAACCGTAATTTATGAAATAAAGAACAATTATGATCTAAAGGGTATCAAAATTTACAAAAAAGCTTAATATTTGTTTACTTTACTTTCTTTGCTATCGGTAGCGAATTATAATGACGAGGAATGTTATTTAAATCATATCAAAGACGGAGTACATCGAGATGAAATACTACATTTAGTAAGGAATTATAAGCCAAATAAAATAAAAACATCTGCCCTGAAGATAAGGATAGTGCTGACAGATTAACTTCCAATTCATTGCGCGCCGCGGCGTCCCCCCGTCGCAGAGCAGCGTGAAATTGATAAACAGATTTCGGAATGGTTAGATAAACAAAGGATATGCCTGTATTCATTTTTTGTAGCAATTCCACTTTTTGTTTAATGGACTTCGAAACATACTTTCGCTTTGTAGATCCTTTACATATTAGTAAATATGGTACAACTCTAATATACGCCCTAATTTCACCAAATGTGGCGATATGTGTTCTGTGCTGGTTTTTGGTACGATTGCGTGTTCTATGGCAACCCTGTTGATGTTGAAAAATCTTTCGCTGGAGCTCGTTGATTCGCCTCTGTGTCTGAGAAGATGGGAGGGAAAGATAAAATGATAGTTGTTGAATTGAAGTTCGGCAAAAGGAAATATCATTGTGGCTATCCTGTTGAGGGGTAGTGGGTATTTGGAAGTCTGGAAAGAGGGTCTGGGAGATTATTTTTAATGGCAGTGCATGATAGAAGTAGGGATTTGCGATTTTATTTATTTGTGAACCATAGTATAAATTTTCTGGATAGTGTGTCTGGCTGTCATGTAAATACAATAGTGATTACATGGCGGCATGTTAAAGGCGGTATGAAATTTATATTTCTGCTATTCAAAAACGCATTAATTCATGGTAAGTGCATTTTATTTTATCCTTGTTCTTATTTTGTAGAATGTTATGTTCATTGGTTCTTTAGTATAAATTTCTGTCGTTATTGTTGTTTTTTTAAATTGTTTGAAATTTATTTTAGTTTATTTTGTTGTTTAGTGTCTAGACTGTGCAATTCGTAGATGTTTTTTAAAGTTGAAACAGAACGCTGTGCACATGGTATTATTTGAAATTTTTTGTTATGTTATTTTATTAAAGCGAGGAGTGCGTAGATCATAGATTCCTTCCTTGCCTAAATTGTGCAATTTGTAGAATTTTTTTAAAGTTTAAACAGGATGCTGTGTACATGGTATTCTTTGAAATTTCTGTTGGTAATTTATTAAAGCGAGGTGTGCGTAGTTTGTACAATCGTTCGTTGCCTACATTGTGCCATTTGTAGATGTTTTTTTAAGTTAAAACATGTCGCTGTGTACATGGATTCTTGTCAAATATTTTTGGTTAGAAACTTTACGTTTTTGCTATCTAAATTTTTTTGTTTTTGTTTCGGATTTTTTAGCTAAATTGTATGTTGAAAACGTAGTTTTTGCATGTGCGAAAACCGCGTTTTTGGAGACATTTTAGGCTAAAAGTTCGAAATGTAGACAAAAAATTTAGATAGTAATATGGCAGCATGAAGTTTCTCGCCAAAAATATTTGGCACGAAATTTGGCGACTTGAGGGCACATATCAGAGTAGTTCCGTAAATATATATCGGAAATTCTATTTGACATAATTGAAAGTTCAAGCTTACTTTTAAAAAATTGCCCTAACAGTCTGCAAAAAATAATAAGTGGGATCCAATTCGAAGATTAAGGAACAACGCAATCTGCAACATTAACTGAATTAGATAATTTTAGCTTAGCTTATACCGTCCATTATACATTAAACGCACATGCGTAAACATATTTTGGGCATGCGCACACGCATATTCGCAGCCGTAAAGATCTTATGCGCATGCGTCGAAACACATATTCGCAGCCGTAAAGATCTTATGCGCATGCGTCGTAAGTTTGTAGCTTTGAGGTCCGGATTATAGATCATTCCGAATTATGGGTGACCGAATTAACGACTTTTGACTGAAGAAACCAAAACTGAAAATATGACATAATTTGCAATTTAGTTTAGATTCTCTCTTTACACCTCATTCCATTCATGTACTTCACTATGTAAGAGCCAGAGACTTCCATGGCAGAGGAGTGACACTAATCACCCTTCTGTCCTGGAAAATGACATAATGGTGCTAGTTCTTGTTTCAGAATCTGCATTTGATGGCTGCTAGATGGTTGAAGACGTTTTTCTTTTTTTAAAATGTTTTCAGTGAATGTAAGTGAATAAAAGTAATTTAATATGTACATTTAGTGCCTACTACAAATGTACTAAACTACGCTGTGCCACTTAGCAGCACGCACAGTGTAGTTTTGCCATCCCTGAACTTGAAGTCCATTTCAGAGGATTTCCATAACAGCCACATAAAATAATTATAAATACAGTGATTTTTGAATTGTGTTATATACCAGATAATAGAAAGATACTATCATTCTAGAACAGATATAATCACACATAACAAAGACAAATATGCACTTATTTATTTTCGTCTTGACCGTGAAAAGTGGCCGAGATCCTACCAAATTTGAGTCATTCAAATGAAGAAACAGATTGTTCTTTATTTAGTTGAATAATCACAAAACGTTATTTTATTTTTACTTATTTATGTAAACAGATCTAAATTATACAGATACAGAACATAAAATACTTAAATAAATATCATCACAAACTTTGAGACTATTGTACAAACAAATTCATTTTAAAACTTATAACAATCATTCTGGCAAAAGAAAAAAATAGAAAAATAAAGCTAACTTATATCCTTCTTTAGAGAAACTAAACTGGTTTATTAAAAGTTGATGAGTCATATAAACTGGAAGCAAAGAATTTATAAATATGCTATGACATAAAGTTTATCCATTATTGTGTTAATTTTGTTTTGTTTCTCAGAAATGGTCAACAGAAAAATATGCAAATACCAACAGAACTTACATGCTTCATATTTCGTAATTTCAGGATGGCACACAGAGAGTTTGGCATGGCAGGTTACACATTCCAGCATATCTGAAGTTATGCACTTCCACCCATATTGAGCACACACAGGCGGTGCTAATGCAAATGGTTTTCGAATCCATTTCTAATTGAAGTAAAGAGAAATTATTTCTCCTGCAAGCTACATTTAGTAATTTCATATATATGTATATTCATTAAACATGAACATTTTCCTTAAAATACTAAAATCACATTTAAAACAAAAACTTAGACAAGTATTAATTTTTATTACTTACATATTTGCAAAACCACCTTGCCATAATTTTGGTGATGTTTCAAAGAAGAAAAAGAATAATGACTTATAATTGAAAAAAAAATACATACATATTACTACAAACATAATTTACATTTTAATTAGATATTTATACTAAAAATCTCTCAATAAACCTCTTACAAACAGGACTTTGTTGATTTTATTCAGAAAGAAATTTTGAGGTGACTTCAAGAATAGATTTAAAGCAATTCTTCTTCTTCTCTTTAGTGATTTTATAGAAAAATACAGCATTTCTGAAAAAAAACCTGACTTCAAGTTCTTCCACTGAAGGTTAATGGAACGAGCACAAAACTGAGTTGAAGAAACAATCATTTATTTACATAAACCTGTGTGACCTATTTGTCTCTGTAGCCACGTTGTTACTCAGCATAACATCTCAGACTGAAACATTCTACATCGAGACATTGTTGGTTTTATCCCTACTGAATAATTTATATCCCTTGCGCCAATCTGGTGAATTTTTATTAGCCTAAAGGAGGATTAGCTCAGAACGGCTATTAATTTAGTTTTGGCATTTTGTGTTGGTTCACTATAAATGCTGGTTTACTTTTCAAATTCTTGCCACCAAATATTATCAGCCTATGTTGTATTTAAAGAAAGTAAATAATGAAGAATCTGCATAAATGTATGTATATTTCCAGCACTGGGATAAAACAACGATACCTAAAATTCCATCAAATCTATCAAATTTTGAATAATGAAATCTTCCACCAAATATGGGCATCTGGAAGCCCGAATTTGAAATTTCTTTTATTATCAATCTCATATTTTGTAACACTTTAAAGAATTTTTTATTTCAAAGCAAGCAATGGCAACACTTTACAAGGGGGGCGGATATTTTTCTCTCCAGCGTGCGAGACTGTGTATCAGAAATTCTAAAGTTTTGCTCATTTTAAAATTAATTTGCGATATTGTTGTTGAATTGAATTTTATGGTTTAAGTGCAAAGAACATGATATTTAGTAAATAAAGGTAACACACAAAACATTAAATAATGCTCCTTTTGAAGCTTTCTGAAAAGCTTTCTGATTTTTTTTTTTTTTTTTTTTTTTTTTGTTTTCATAACTACATGCATGGCTATCAACACAATGCAGCCTGAAAAATAACTAGTGCAGCATATCCAGACAATTTCCTTTTAATATTAATAACTGAACACCAAAGAGCATGGTAATCTTTTATGCTGATATTACATTTGGCAAAAATTACAGACTTTAGCTAACTTCAAAAGTGTTGTGTGCGTTGACAAGAACTTTTACAGAAATTTCTTTCCATGTCCAAAAAATAGATTTTGTAAATGATACTCATAGGCTAAAAGATTACATTTAATACTATTCAATTACGGATAAATGTTTTGTTGTTCAAATAACTCTAGGACCAGTGCCAGAGCTGATGCAGTTGCATCAGCTCTCTCTCAGTTTAGAGAAGGCAAAAAGTTCAAAATTTAGAGAAACACCAAGAAACAAAACTAAAGTATAGCAAAATCCACACAAAGACTGCATCCATTGTAAAATGCTTAGTGCTGGTCTTGGAGGAATCATAAGTATATGTGGGAATTTATTTATTTGGGACTTATAAACTTAAAGCATGTGTGAGAAATAGACATATGTAAAATAAATAACTGAACTAAAATAATTCAGGCTTAACTTTAGTGTTAGATAGAAGCATGACAAAATTTTATGGAACAATACGTCTTTAGTTGCCAATCTCGTGATATATCACCAATACTGTGCAGCAGATGCTTTATGATGCTAGCTAAGCTTTATGATGGTAGCTGCAAATTTGAAGTTTTCCAGATATTGCAAAGAAAACGCAAAATTTTCCAATTAAGGGAATTTGTAAATAAATGTGGAGAAAAGGTAATAAATGAAGATGATATAGCAGAAGTTTTTCATTACAATGACACTGCTTTAATCATCAGTCAACTAATTTACAGCAAAATGTGTAGTATGGTTTTAAATCCAGAAAATATTCACACAAGCAAGTTTCACTGATAGTGAAGAAAGTGACAGAGAGGTTGCCAAGAACTAAAAAATTTTGATTGATACTTTAGTAGGAAATTGCAACAATTACAGGAACTTGAAAAATTATAACTACAGGACTTGAAGAATAGAACTTTGAAAATGAAAAAGAAATTATGTCCATCTATAAAATTAAAGAGAAAGTATTAGCACAAAAAATTAAGCAACTTAAAAAACTTATATTGAAAGAAATGTTTAATAGAGCAAATAAATTTTGTAAATTTTGATTCCCTGAAGGTAATAAATGCTTCATTATTTCATAAACCCCCACTTCATATTTTTAATTTTATAATTCCTGCATGTCATTTTACTAGGAAATATTGGCAAATATCCAACTAGATATTTGTAAAAGCTTGATTTAGATATCTATGCAAAACTTTTCTGGAAGAAATTTTGGTAAAAATATCAATGCAAATCTTCCTCTGCATAGCTGATAATCATGTCCCTAATCTACCTTTCAATTACACATTTGCTTCTACACATTACACACACACTTCAATTTTTAATTTGCATTGGGGAAAAGTAAAGGTAGGTCAAATTCTGAATTCCTTCAAATTAGAATTTGAATCACGAAAGATTTTCTAATCTTTTAATACCAAATCTCTCAAATCCTTCAAATAAAAATAAGTAGATGAAAAACAGAAAAAAAAAAAACACTTTTGCTTAAAAGTTTTAGAATAAAATAAAAGGTGAAATCTGCATGTAATAAAAAATAAATATGAGAATATATTTCTTTTTAAATATACCTATATTGTATATAAAAATATACCTATATATAGCAATACGATTTAAGTTTTGGAAATACAGATCCTTTCGAAGACTCATAAGATTACTTATCCTTAGAGAAAGTAAAAAGTGACTGATAGCACAAATCATATCTAAAGAATTAAATATATTTAGTATTAGGGTTTGAACTCAGTATGTTGGTTCTGATATTAATTTCATGGGAAAAACTAAATAATTTTTATTAAGAATCTTTATAGAGATTATAGTTAAAATTGCTATGTCTTATGAAAGGGAATCTTTCTGAAGGATGTGCAGAAATTTTAATTGCTATATTAAAGTTTATACTAATTAATAGAATCAGAACTCACTCACAATTAAGTAATTTAAAGTATAAAAAATTATAATTTCTTAACTGATCATCTTTCCTAAAGAATAAGAACCATTTTTCACAATGAAAATAATGAATGATCTCTTGTCCTAGAGCTGTACTGTTAAATATTTATTTCTCATTTAATGTGTTAAAGGGTTGAATATTAAAGAACAAGTTTTGCAGAATAAATGTATGACTTTTAAAAGCAATAACTTATCAAAAGAGAATGATATACAGTTTAACATACAGAATGGTAATACCATAGCAAACTGCCAATTATCATTGTCACAAGACACTGCCTATTTCAGTTTAAATAAATAACATACATTTTCTAATCAAATTTCAATTGAAATTTTCCAAATGAAAAATAATTCTCTGCTTCTGAAAAACTTATAAAGTTACAAAGCTCGCATTCAAAAATTACCACAAAATCAAACAAGAAACTTCCAGTAAAATTCTGAAAGCTAACTCCAAAGCTCTGGTTGACAAACGCTTAATGTTTCAATATTCATCAATTCAAAAAATCACAATACATTTAACTCATTCTTGTAAAAAAAAAATTATAACAAAAGTATGAAAAAAAGTTAAACTTAACTTACAGCTGATTTCAAACAAAAATATCCTACACAATTCCACAACACTCTGATTCAGATCTCTTTTCATTAACAGATAACTTAAATCTTCCTTTTTTAAAAGCTATAAGGTCTGTGTGCTTGAAATCACCAAATTAAGATTGAATTTTCTATAATTTTGCAACAAAAGGATTAATTTTACAAAACAAAAGCAACTGCATTTCGCTTCTTTTTTCTGTCATTAGTTTACCTAAGGAAATACACGGATACTCAGTTCACAGAGTTTAATCTGCAGGGTGGAATTCACCAAAACCTCTTTTATATCCTTTTGTCATTTATTAGCTAAGCACAAAGGACTATTTGCCTAAAGAAAGGAATGCTTTTATGAAGCATTTTTTGAGGGAAACTTGTTCATATACATATCACATACCAAAGAAATCATAATGCCATAAAGTAGGTCCATTTGCGACGAATAAAATTTGGGAATAACCAGTATTCCATAATCTCATCAACTCAACCACTGGTAGGATAACCTAGCATCATACTAATCTGAATATGACAAATTTAATAATAAAATCTGCACAGGCATTGAAAAATTAAAATCGGATAGCTTCATTTTTTGGGATGCAAAGCATTATTATTACAGATAATGTGAATCTTCTTTGTAAATTAGCATTATGTTAACTATCTTATAAAATTTTGTTTGTAAAGAATGAAATTTAGTTATATCAATTCTTTCAAAGAATTAAACTGGTGTTACCTGTCCATCAATGTAGGTCCGAACTCGTTCTCCAAAATCTTTTTCAGCTTCAGAGTCTTCTGAATGCTCTCTTATCAGGTTGACATAAGATGCCTTATCACATTCAGTGTCATTAACCATTGCTAGACAAATCTAAACAGAACTATTATAGACAGTTATATCTTAAAACATGTAAGAAACATATAGGAGCTTATTTGACATTTTTCACTGAGAAATGCACATGTATATATACCTAGAACAAAAGAATTTTAGTGATAAACAGTGAATTATCAGAAGCACTAACCAGTTCAACAATGGCCAGAATAAAATAATCAATATTGACAATTTTTTACAAAAACTTCATTCAACGTTCACTTAATGCTTCGCCTAAAGCTGTCTGGAACGTTTGACAAATCTTCATATTTCCGCGCTTCTACTCATTCCCTTTCACGGGAATTAAAGGTGGGGAAAATTTTTATAACGATCATTTGCAACATCAAAGAAGCTGCAATACAAGTTCACGAACGCGGACAAAATCTATTCTAGAGCCGGTGCCTGCACTTCAGCGAACTCGGAACTAAAACACCATTTCCACTCACATACGATTTGTTGCAAGACGCCACACGTCAGATCTCTCCAAGTTTCGTCTTCGACGAACGCAGGGAAAATATACCCGGAAGTAATGTTTATCGCTTAGCAACCAGTCCTCGAACGCTTTTGAGTCGGTTTCTTATGCGTTTTGCCAATCGACATGGCAAAGAATTTATGTCGCTTTTTAGACATACACATCGCTTTTTAGACATACAAAAATTTCAGACACATTCATGTGACGTCACAGATGTAATCGAAACGAATGTAACGCATGGATACAGACTTAACGTCGTCTGCTACAGATTAAAATGTTCATTACTTTGTGAAGGAATTTGGCAGTTTAGTTGAGTTCTGGTAATGCTTTATTTTTAAACAAGGCAACACATTGTATTAAGGAAAACGAACAGATTTTTTTTTTTTTTTTTTTTTTTTTTTTTTTTTTTTTTTTTTTTTTTTTTTCTTACGTAAACCACAAAGATGATGCCGAGATCATTTACTGCACTGAGTTGCGTAAATAATATCATGAAAAAAGATTTCAGGTAACGAAACATTCTAATAACTTCGCTCGCTCTAGTACAATGGTGATTTGGCTTATACAAAGGAGAAGAGTCTTATTCCCTGACGTGCGACATCTGAATTAAAGTGCGACGTAGAAAACGATTTGTTTCGACTGCTACTAGCAACTCAACTCAACTTACAAACATATCGCCGAAACTGCTGGAACTATTACACAAAAGCATAATTTTCCCGGCTCAGTGAGAATTAAGTCCTAAGACGTATGACAATAAGAGTTTCCTGACATGGTAATCTTGGTAAGGAGAAACGCAGGCAAGGAGAAGAAAGAAATGGGGCCTTAAAGCCTGGAATCAGACAAGCGGTCTGAGAGATGAATAAGCTAGGATCTGATTGAACTGTGGATTTGATGAATAAGCGAAATCAAAACTGATCAGTCAGAGCATTTCATAAGTGAAATAAAGGCTTATTTTGGTCTTAAAAGAAACAGTATATTTATTTTTACAATTTCCATTTTTGGTTGCAACATGTTACTTATTTTTTACATAAAAATATAACAAAATTTTAAGAAATAAAGCTTACGCAACGCTTATCAAGGAACACTCCAAGTAACGACGTATTTAGGTCGACTCGTCTACTCTATGTCTTATCTTAAGTCTATGTCTATGTCTTATCACTTAGTAAGAGGCAATCCACTATTAACGGCCTTTACCAATATAATTATACTTGACTTTTAAATACTTGAGAAATCGAATATCCAGTAATATGGAAGTACTTGTGCACATGCTGTGCTAGAACTCAGAGATTACTAAAGACGGAGGCTCCTGTGCCGCCGTCCGTAGAATAAGTAAACTTGAACAAATGAGCGCTCGTGTGGCGCCATCTATTATTAGGGATGAAAAGCATTTTAGTTCACTGGAGCTCTGGTTGCGCCATCTCTTGCGGGATGTATTGTAAGGCATTTTTAAAATTTCATAAAAATTATTCTTCTGATAAGCAATAATTGGAAAGTGGAATGATGAAAAACACAATTTGCAGTACATTGAAACGTTTCACAAGCGTAAAAACTATTTACATACAAAGTCTACCTGCTTTAGCAGGAACAAAGTCAACAACGCATTGTAATTTCATAAGTAAATCTATATGTAAAGAAAAAGAAGTAAAGTCTTGACTTAATAAGAAGAAAACGAAAATATATACATTACCACCGACTATTATGGTGAATAATGCGGGGCCTCTTGTGACGTTGTTCAATTGTGAAATCATAATTTCCTAGTTTTTTGATGATATTCTTAGGATGACTATAACATTTCATAAAAAGTTATGAGAAACTTTTAGAATTTCAGAATCCGTGGGTTTAATTTTCAAGTCATTGTGAAGAGTGTTGTTTCGTACGAACCAAGGCGCATTTGTAGTTATTCGGATGGCCTTGTTTTGAATTCTTTGTATTTTTTCACGATGAGTTCTTGCAGTTGCAGCCCACACTGGGGAAGCATACAGTAAAATCGGGCGGATAGCTTGTAGATAAGTAACTCTTTTTGTAGCGAGACTAAGTTTAGAATATCTCCCTATGAATGCGTAGATACTGCCTATTGCTTGGTTGGCTTTTTTACAGATATTTTCGATATGGTTTTTGAAGGTTAGTTTTTTTTCGAGATAAACGCCTAAATATTTAACACATTTTTCATTTGGGATGGAGATATTATTAATTGTGATATTGTTGAGATGTCTTCTGGAAGGGTTCTTTTGGAAATATATTGTAGTGGATTTGCTTTCATTGATTTTAATTTTCCAAACGTTAAACCATGGGAAGATATAGTCTATTACATTTTGGAGGTTTTGGATGGCTCTTTGAGGATTGATTGAATGCAGTATCGTCTGCATAGCAGGCGATAATGTAATCTTTGTGGCTGGGAAGATGATTTATGTAGATGTTAAAAAGAAAAGGTGAAACATTCGAGCCCTGAGGGACACCTGCTTTCTTTACGCTGATATTAGATAGCTCGTTAATACGAACTTGAAAAGTTCTGTTTTCCAAAAACACTTGAAATTAGTAGGATTAATCCAGATGGAAATTTGTTTCCGATAAGTTTGATAAGGAGGCCTGGGTGCCAAATCTGATCAAAAGCTTTTTCAATATCAATGAACTCGACTCGTTATTGCCACACGGCGAATCTTAATAACTATTCAAAACATTACATAATGTTGCCACTTAGGATATATTAATAATTATATAGAAACATTAAATTATGTTCCACTACATTACTCCCCCCTCGAGTAACTGTGTTACGATTTAAGAGATTCTGGTAGTGGAGTAATGTAGCGTAAGCTAACATTAGAATTAAAAATACTAAATACAATAAATAAATACAATTACAATTAAACATATTCAATAATAGAGGTTAGGAAAAATATTCAACATTGTTACTAAAACGTTAAGGACGGTTTATTAGTCGTCCAGTTCGTGAGACTCGAGATCGTTCATCATTAGTCTCAGATTTTAACAAAGTCTGAGTTTTGGGCTGGGTGTCAGAAGTTTCTGGTTCCAGTCTTTGCTCACCTGATATTAAACAATAGGCTGGCTTCAGCCGAAATGTTTACTTCCTTACCTTTGATTTGTAACAAGAAATATTTTTCCATTGTTTTAAGTACTTTGAAAGGTCCTTCATAACTAGGTTCTAATCAACGAGATAATATACTGGTAGAAAGCGTATTGCAACCTTCAACCGGTTCCAACATTAGTGTCACGTGACTGCTGCGTCGAATTCCGAAAGTCCGGAAATACTTTACATTGATTTCTATGGGACGAAAGACTGCTGCTGTGCTTGGTCACATAAAATTTAATAAAAAATGGTTATCCGCTGCAGCGCCTATGGATGTAAAGAAAGTTTCGTGAAAGGAGGACTTGTAACCTTTCATAGGTAAGTTAAAACTGCATGATTTATTATTTTATTTCCAGTATTTTTGTCATTTTACTATCTCTGTTGAATTGGTTGGAAAGTTTCAGCCATACTTGTATAAGAAAATTGCCGCCGTATATGACATTTTCAGCATGTATTATTAGCATCAAAATGTATTAAATACTGTGACACTATTTACTGGAATCACCCTTTACAAATAATTGAATTTTATATGTTTTTTTCCGTGTATTCCGTTGAAATAGAAAGCTGCGCCAATTGGCGTTAACATTTTTTCGCCAAGTCGTACGCGTTTTGATTTCATAAACAATTACTGCCTGCGATAAAAAAAAAGAAAAACGCTATTATTAGCATTAAATTATTGAGAAAAGATTGTGCGATATGTTTACTTTGTTAAAAAAAAAAGCATCTTGATTCATGCAACATTGAACATAAACAGTTAAACAGCATTATTTTAAAAATCAGATTACTTTTATAAAGCTCAATGCTTTATCATTATTTTATAGAAAATAATGATAAAGCGTTGAGCTTTATAAAAGTAATCTGATTTTTATAAAGCTCAATGCTTTATAATTATTTTCTATAAAATCAATTAAAATAAAAATAATCTGGATTATAATTCTGTCTCATCTACGATGCTGTTAGAAATTTATTGTAATTGAAAAAAATGCGATGTGAAAAACTTACCATATTTTAAATAGTATTTAAAAAAAAAAAAGGAAGAGAGAGAATTTTTAACTGTAATATCGTTTTGATCCTAATAATAAATACTGAGTTGAAGTTTGTTACCGTTTGATACATATTCAATATAAAATAATTTTTATAGTTAATAAGATGTATTGATCCCCCCATGACTACACATGAGTGTGGAAATCAGTAATTAAGATTGCATTATTTTGTTCCAGTAAATATAATCTCAAGAAAAGAAGGCCATGAATGGCATAAATACATATAATACAATGTGATTTTCTTTTTCTCTTTAGGATGCAATGCATTAAAATTAAACGAGATTTTTTTTACCTTCTCAAATATTATAACAGTAGTGTGCAATTAATTTTTTAACGTTATTCAAAATTAAAGTTTCCATCTCAATTTTTTATTATTTATTTTAGATTTTCTTCCTAAAATTATTTAACCTAAACATCTTAAACAATGGTGCAAATAATTTAAAGCAATTATTAAAAATATAGATAAAATATTCAGAAAAAAGGGGTTAAGTTATATCTAAATATACTTGTAAAAAATCGAACAACCTAATTCGAGGCCGTTGTCTACTGACTGCTAGCAGACGGAAATAAAAAGTACTACCTGCCATATCAAAAGCGGGCCAAACTGGCGATGAACAGCCTAAGCTATCACTCCCCAAAGCGCCAACAGCATTAGTCACGTGGTGTATGTTGGAGACACCCTAGCAGACGAATTCTCTGTGGGTGAGCCGTCTACCTGTTATATGAAGTCGTTGGTTCTAATGGTTTCTTGACTCTATCAGTTCTTAGGAAAACATGAATGCACATATTCAGATCTTTATGGACAAACACTTTAGGAATCATTTGTCACTGTACCGCAGAGGGCTTGAACAATTCGATTTGTTTTTGCAATTTATGCAAAAATTTTTGAGGTGTTGTAGAAACTGTCGGCTTATCAAAAAATTATCCAGGAAGTTTGATTATTTTCCCGCAAACCATTCGTGCAATGGGATATCCAGAGTCTTCTTTTAAGGCTGCCCTAAGATCTAGAAGAATTGTTGGAATGGATTCGAACCACTTAATGGAATTATGACATTTGATAG